GAATATTTTTTAGATTCTCAGGGCAGTCATCCAGTCCAGGACAGAGTATTCTAATTCAAAACACATGAGGGTAAGTGCTAAATTGATTCATTGCCCAGAGCTCCTCAGAAGTGAAGTTCCAGCCTTCAGCCTCAGGGTGAAGAAGACATTCTGCCTGAAGGCAGAGGATGCAGCCTCAGAGGGCCTTGCAAACCCCTCTGTGAGCTTCCACATTCCATTCCTGACATCTGTGTTTTGGCACGTGGATGCATGACTGCACACATGTGCATTTGCACTCACACACAAAGACACACACCCTGCATCTTCCTTCCTCATTTCATTCCAGCCTCCCAGTTTTTCACAGAGACCACCTTATGCTTCCTCCTCTCTTTCACCTCCTCCATCCCAGTTTGTAACTTCATCCCCAACCATCCCTAACCCAGCTCCTTAAAGGAAAACAGAAACTGTCCTCTCTCCTTTGAGTGAAAGAACCATAAGGGAAGTAAAGGGTGGGTATGAGAGAGTCAACTACCATGCCTAACCTCCCTGTATAGGCAGGTTGAGAGAGGAAATCAGGGAAATGGTTTCTACCTGCCCATGATCCCTTATGCTGATGAATGGAGCCACAGGAAACCCCCAAAGAGGGAAGTTGTTATTCCATGCTGAAAGGCAGCAAGAAATTCAGAGTGCTCATTTTGGCAGCACATATACTAAAAATGGAACATTAGCTCGGTCCCTGTGCAAGGATGACATGCACATTCGAGAAGCATGCCATATTTTTTATGAAAAAAAAAATGCTCAACATCACTAGCCATCAGAGAGATGCAAATTCAAACCACTTCATACCACTTCATTCCCAGGATGGCCATCATTAAGTCAACAAACAAGTACTGGTGAGGATGTGGAGAAAGGGGAACCCTAGTGCACTGTTGGTGGGAATGTAGATCTAGTATAGCCACTGTGGAAAACAGTATGGAATTTCCTCAAAAAATTTAAAATGGAACTACCATTTAACCCATCAATTCCACTGCTAGGAATATACCTAAGAATCTGGAAACACCAGTTCAAAAGACTTATGCACCCCTATGTTCACAGCAGTGCTATTTACAATGGCCAAGATTTGGAAGTAGCCTAAGTGCCCATCAGTAGATGAGTGGGTTAAAAAAACTGTGATACATTTACCAAATGGAACACTACACAGCAGAAAAAAGGAATTGCTACCTTTTGAGACAGCATGGATGGAACTGGACACTATCATGCTCAGTGAAATAAGCCAGTTGGTGAAAGACAAATACCGTATGATCTCACTTATAAGTGGAACCTAATGAATAAAATCAACTCCTGAGCAAAATAGAACCAGAGGCATAGAATCATAGAATAGATTGACAATTGTAAGAGGGGAAGAGGGAGGTGGAGACTGATTGAAAGAAGGTAAAGGGATTAGTCAAAGAACATATAAGAAGGACACAGAAACAGGGACAGCAGTGTGGGGACTGACCATGGAAGTGGGCAGAGGAGGACAAAGGAGGGAAAACTGGGACAACTGTAATAGCATAAACAATAAAAAATAAAAAGGCTTTGGAAATGGTGGTGTTGGGTGCACAATGATGTGAATGTCCTTACTGCCACTGAACTGTATACCAAAAAATGGTTAAAATTGTCAATTTTATGTCTATTTTACCACAACTAAAAATAAAAATAAGGAATAATAAAAAGAAATTTGGACAGAAAATGAGGATCTTCTTGGTTTAGCTAGATACTAAAGAATAGTGACTTCCAGTCTTGCTACAATACTCCAAATGACTCCAGTCATTTCAAGGAAGGTTATAAAATTCAGAAGTTATCTTAAAATTTTTAACAGAAAAATACCACACAGAGAACTCACTTTGTTTTTGTGGGGATGTCTCACTCACATACAAAATTATGAAAAACGAAAGTTAAGAATGCCTGTTTTAGATATCACTGCTGAAAGAATCAGGAAATCTAAGGATGGAGAGAGGCTTCAATCTCCAGGAAAGGAAAGAACGGCAGTACTCCTGTTCCCCACATCTCCAAAGGAGGAGGAAAGACAATCTAAACTTTTCTGTCCCTCTCAACCTTTTCCCTCAAGCCCTTTTATTAGGTGTCTACTCCTCAAACATGGAAATAAAAAAAACAGGGAGGGGTGGAAATCCAAAAAGAAACTTAGAAGGTGATTAATTAAAAGGGAAAAACAATAACTGAGAAAGGACAATGAACAAAAGAAAAAGGTAGAGGCAAGAAAAAAGGGTAGAGAAAACATGGAAAGACGGCACATCCTCTGAGTCCTGGTCTAGAAGCCCGAGAGATGTGCCTGCACCCTGGAGGAGCAGGTAGCCCCAGCCTTACTCCCTCCAGGTAGTGTTGTAGCAGCTCCATTCCCTCTACCTCCCAGCTTCATACAGCGATGACTGAAATGGTGATGCAGAACAAGAGAAACGGGTATGTGACAGAGGACAAAGGAACACAACCAGGCCTAGGTCTCTCGGAGCTGGGCTCCCTGGTTCCTGCTAGGAGTCACTGAAACATAAGCAGCAGAGTTATAGTGGGGTGGGGAGCCAGGAGGGACCAGGCAGCACAGGGAGGTGGTATCAGAAATAGTGTGAAGAACAGTCCACCCCATTCTTACATGGCACAGACTAGGGCTTTGATTCACCTGTCCTCTTCCCAGGGCTGCATATCTCACTTGCCCCACCCCAACCCCTGCTGCATATGAGAATTTCATAAGTTGCAGTGGCTGTGGCCAATACCTCAGCTCCCCACCAGCTTCCTCAGAAGGTAGCAGCAACAGGAAGGGGGAGAAAAAGGAAAGGGTGTGATAATAACCCTAAACCTCATGTCGGCAGCCCTCAATTTATCAGCAAACTCAATTCTCAGCATCTTTCTCTCCCCCTGGCTCAGAACCAAATGATCATGCAAGGCTTTGCTGAGGAGAGGCATGAGGCTTTTGAGCTGGCATTGCCTCTTCCCATCTGGGAGAGAGAGTCACAACATACACAGAAAGATGCACCTGTTTCCAGAGGTGGCATGGGGTATAAAGGTCTCGTAAAGAGTCCCAGATTGTTGCAAAAAAGATAATAACTTAATAGGGTTGAAATTAAATGTACAAATTGAGGGTGCTTGTGGAATTTAAAGGGGGTGGAAAGAACATGGGGTGGAGAGACCAGAAATGAGAAGAAAAATGAAAAACATACACCATATACTTGACAAAGGAGAAATCATTTTTAAATACAGATACACAAATTAAGACAGAAGCTGAGAGGAGGGAGCCAGTACCTGGAAAGCAAGATGCTACAGCTGCAGAGGGGTGGAGGAAGCAGGAAAGCAGACTGAGAGGAGGAAACAAAGGGAAAGGAGCCAGGAACTGAGGACGAGATACTTCCTCTCCTGTGCCTGCAGTTTGCCCATGACTTTGAGTAGGTGAGTTCACAAGGTTCCTCACTCTCATCGTTGCTGATTTCTTTCCTTCACTTCTACTGGAATAACAGCCTCAGTGTGTGTGTGGTTTGCTCACACACGGGTTTGCTCACACACATGGAGTCAACGGGTTGACTCCAGCTTTTGCCTTGTCCACCCCCCACCCCACATCATATTCAAGGTTTCAGTAGCAGCTTAGCATGTCCACAGGCTGTAATGGGTTCCTCTCTGCACATGCTTATGTGCAGCAGCCAACACTAAGCTCTCACCCCTCAGCTCACACTTCCTCCCAAAGGCAGAGGTTGCCTGGGGTCTCTTTGCTCTAACAGGGTGATTCCAAGCTGTGTGCTCAGTGATCCAGTTTAGCACAGGCTCCCACACAGTGATCCTCCATTTTCCCCCAGCTGCCTGTGCTGCATCGATTTCACTGGCTTTACAGCCTGTTAGTGGAGACAAAAGGAGGCAGAATTGCTTGACTCTAGGCTTCTCCAAAGCACCGGGTGGCAAGATTCCTGGAAGGAGTTATGAGCAATGAGCTCATTTGAATGTCATGCAGGCAGACCCCCTGACATAATGGAGGGAAACAAAAACCAAGGCACAGTTGTTTAGGAGTGGGAGTACGGGTTTCAAAACTCTGGAGTCATCGGATGTGCCCTAGACAGAGATAAAGTGGCATTGAGAGATTGAAAGGGAAGGGGCAAGCAGTCCCAGGCTTGCGTTAGGAAATAAATAATGTCCAGAAGGGTCTGGCTCTGAAGTGTATCAAACTGCTCTCCTACCCTATGTTTATGGGGTCATGGACCATTAAACCAGCCAATCTACAGATGTCTTCATAAGACTTTACGAGATTAGACTGAAGAGAACCTATAACTCAGCAATAAGAGAACATGAGAAGGGAGAATTAGATGTGATTGTGAAAACAAGAGGGCTCAGCCTTCGGAGGAGTCACATCTCAGCGGGTGGATGTCTGGGTTCTGGGATGCCTATCTTCCTCACTTCTCACTCTTGTTAAGTTTCTGACCACCCCCATTAGAACAATACATCAGGCCTACACTACCCAGTAAATTCTCAATTATCTACATACTCTTTCCCCCACCTAATCCAACCTGCCCTCTGTCCCCTACCCCCATGTGGTACTCAGGAGTTTCCTTGGTATTTATGAAGCAAGAAATCAGAAAGATAGTTATATCACAAACTCACACATACTGAGACTTTCAACCTGATTTAGACTCTCAAATGTGGTTTTCCACAAATCCTAATAACCAGGAGCTGCCTCTTTTAGAGGTCCCTGAAAGGTAATGTTTATTCCCTGAGCCACTGGGGACAGATAAGCAAGGACACTAGAAAGGCATACGCCTGAACTCTCAGGGGAGAGTAAGAAACAGAATATACATTCTCTTTCCCTCAAGCTTGCGCCACCCTGTGGCTGTTTGCAGAAAGTCAGACACTAACAACTCAAAAAAAAGCTGTTGTTCTCCAAGACTCACTGCTCTTTGAGAAATGTGTGATTGGCTAACATTCCAGGAACCAATTTAAGGAAGGAGTGAGTGTAAAACCCAGATCTTCAAACCACCACTCAGAATCCATATTTGAAAAGCAAACATTTATTAGAACCAATACAAGAGTATGAAAAGAGGGAAAAGAGGAGGGTGGAAGAGGGGGAGAATGAGGTGTGCATTGGATGTCAGTTGTGGAAACACATAAATTGCTTACTTTGGAACATTTATATTTAAAAGGTGAATGTGTGTATATGTGTGTGTGTGCATGATATATATATATATTATATACATAATATATATATATATATTATATATATATATAAAAAATCACATCCTAAAAAATTTAAAAAATCCAAATCAGACATGTTTGGCTGAAAAAAAAACCAAGACATAACAAATACTCCCCCACAAACCAAAAAGTCCATAAAGAATTCAATTTCCCATTTTTCCACTCAGAAATCTGGCTATGAAGTGTGATTTGTTTTGCTACTCAGCATGGTAGAGTGCTGAGAAACCCAGCCTCTTGAGTCTCTCAGATCCCATCTTGTGGGAAGGCTGTGGGCCACTGGCAAGTCAGCTCCTGGCTACTTGGCAGGATGTCAAACTGTGCGCTCTCCATCCTCCAGAATTCTGCAGAACCACCTGCGGCCACCAGTGCTGAGTACACAAAACACAGAGAACCAGAATGTGACTGCAGCAGGGGGCCAGGACCTTGTGCTTTTTCATAGGTTACACATCTGGGGCCAAGGAGAGGGAAAGGAGAAAGAGCCCTATGGGAAAAAGGAGCTGGGTGGGTCCCTAAACTGAGATGGAGAGTAAGGCTCTTGAGCCTGCACCTGGGCAAACAGAAATGGTGTCCATAGCTTTCCCAAACTGGCGGAAAAAAAAAGGTCAGCTTCACACTGTGAGAACTGACAGAGGCTGAATGCAGTGAATTGGATGAAGCTTTAGAGTATCAATGCCCAGTTCTGAGTATTAAACATAACTCTAGAAAAAAATTTTTTTCCAATGTGGCTTTTTTTGATGGGGGCTAGAGGAAGTGTTTTTTGTTGTTGTTGTTTGTTTTGCTTTATTTTGTTTTTTAATTGAACCAGCTGGTTCCTGTGGGGAGACAGAAGCTTGGGTACAGATACCACAAAGGGCAGCAGTGTACCAGCTGTCTGGGGGTTGGTTTGGGAACTGATAAGCAACAATATAAATCAAACCCACTGTCTATGCTTTGCTTGAGATAGCCCAAGTGTTCCAAGCTCACGAAGCACAGGACCTTAATTCCCAACTTGCAGAGAGAAACAATCAGTAGCATCCCTGATTCATGATTCCCTAATCTAATGCTCTTGGGTCTGAAAGAGCCACTCTTTGTGGATGTAAGATGTAGAAAATACTAAGTGCCTCCCCCCAAAACATCTTAACGCTGGACTATGAAGACCCCAACATTTACAAAAACACTGTCAACATCTGAACTAGCAGCTTTGATGAGGGGTGGGGGGCAGAAAACTTTCTTAGGTCACTAAGTAGTTCCAAACTTGGGACAACTCGGTGAGAACTAAATCCTGTATCAAGCCTAGTTTTCAGCTCCAAGTATCCTCCACCGAGGACCCTAAACTATTTTATCAACTTTGATTTACAATGCCTCACAACACCCCTGTGAGGTAGGTCAGTATTATTACCCCCATTTGACAGACGGGGAACTGAGGCATTGAAAGGAGTGACTTGCCCAAGGTCAGCCATCATGAATCTGTTGAGAAGGTTGGCACATACATAGTCAGCATCCACTCAATTCTGTTCCACAACTTTTTAGAGCACACTTGGGAGCAAAGGGAAGCCAGTAAGAACACCTCACTATACAAACTAGATAAACTCAATCAACCCACAAGTATTAACTGAGGGTTATTATTCATCTAGCATAATGCAAGAAACCTTGGAGAAACAAACTGCTTGTGAAAAAATGGGTCTTGAAAATAAAATTACATTTTAAACATTAAGGTGAAGAACTAAGTCACACTGATTTCCCAAAGTTCTGTACTGAGTAACCCAAATTCCTAAATCCAGAATGAAGCAAGACCACGCTCAAGCAGGAAGAACAGAACCATTTTCCCAGTAGTGGTCTTGATAGTGCTCAGAGCTGCAGATTGGTGGGGAAAGCCTAGCAATAGCGGTGACAGAAGCAACATTCTCTACAGACTAAACTAGGAGTATAGGAATCCCAACACCAACTACTCTCTGCAGCTTCTGGTCCATCCCCCAAATTCCTAGAAGACAGCATCTCACTAACCTTTCTGGACTCAGCTTAACTTCGGGAGTTGTGTCATTTTCATAAGCAGTTCAAGATTAAGGATAGAAATGGTGACTCCCCTACTTTTCATTTCAGAGAAAGGAGATAAAATATTCTCTATAACTAGTCATAAGACTCTTGTAATATTCTTTCCTCCTACCAGAGGTGTAACGCTTTAACAAAAGAGGCAAAATGAAAAATACTTTTTCTTCCTCCTTTTGATTTACAGTGGATTCTGGTAGAAATCACGACCCTAATCCTAAAGCTAGCATGGGGGCAGGGGAGAGTGGAGACTAAATCCACAGCCTGCTCTGGTTTAGAATCAAATACTAAAGCCATACCCCGTTACAGCAGCCAGAGTGGCAGGATTCTACACATATCAGAAGCTCAAAGAATGATTTATCAACACACACAGTATATGTTCACCACAGATACTCTATTTCCTGGAAGGACCAACCATTCCAAGACCTACATATAAACCTTTTTTCATTGATTGCTGATCACACTGAACAAGTCCAGACGATGATAAAGTTCAAGACTGATTAAAATGGCAGTGACAGTCAGGTTCAGTCTGTTAGGAACTCCTCAAAGTGTGACAAACTAGCCACTGGGGCCTGGATCAACTGTGAGGGTCACACCTGCCAATGCCAGGGGACATCACACACACAAAAACCACAGAATGGTAAGATGAAAAGTTCACTGCATTCAATTTGACCTAATTTCTTGATAATAGTTTCCTATTAGATTCTCTGATTAATACTGATGGCTCTTACCTAGGCTGTGATAATTAGGTTTTGATCTATTGTGACATTAATGATCACAACCAGTTGACTTTGAAATTGTCTTAATTAATGGCTCTTCCCTTGTAGGGTCTGCCTCCTCCAGTGTAGTTCTGTCCCCTCCCCCACCACTTTGTTTTAACTCCTTCTTTTACTGATCTTAGAAGACAAATGGCATTTGGAGAATCACTTTCTTCTCATAAAACAGTATTTTAAACTAAAAACATTTCTCTGACAGAGGAACAATATGACATCAGGTGAAATGAGGATCAGGATGAAAAGGCAAGAGAACAGGCTATCAATGAAGAGGAAAAAAAAAAATCCATCTTAAAAAACAGCCAAAGTCAAGCATGTTAAAGAGGCAATGGCAAGTTGAAGTAACTAGAAAGTCAAGATGAGGTAGTTTAAAATTCAAGAAGTCCAGCGCAAGCAAAAAGAAACTAGTATTGTTTTTATGAAGCAATCTGAAGAACCTTCACACTTTAATTTTCCAGAAGTTATTCTAATTCATGGGAATTCTGACTTCCAACAGTAGTCAACTCTCAATTATCCTGGCAGACAAAAGTATCTTTTTCTTGTGGTCAGAACTAAAAAATTTCTTAAGGTCAGAATGTTTCTCAGTAAGGCTAGACCAACCCCTAAATTGGTCAAATCTAAAATTCCGGAGAATGTATATTCCTGTAATGGTTTCCACATAATTGAGTCAAATCTCTGCTTAGAAATCACCATCTTGCAGTGTTGAATAAAAAAACTACACTGCCCAGCATAGATGCCAGGTGTTAACAGATGTGCCTCAAGGCTTCTTTTTAGCAAATCTCTTGTCATTTCAAAATATGCCCCTGTTTTTAGGCTTAAAGCCAGCTTAATGTTACTTCCTCCAAAAGGGATGAGAAAATGAAAAAGGTTGAGCAACTCTGGTTAAATGTCCATGAGGAATAAATGTTACAAAACCCACAATAATGTAACACGTAACTGGAACTGCAACACAGGTAGTACTATTCACAAGCAGGGATTAACTATGCCATTAAATACTTTGGCAAAGAGCCTAAATTAGGGACCAAAATCTTGGGTTCTCAATCCCCACTCACCTGTTGTTCTCACTCAGTAATGGCAGCATTTCAAACTAACTATCAGTTTTATTTTCTGCAATAAAGCCCTTGTTGTGGTCCATCTATGGCCAGTTAATTTAGTTCATTCAAGGTCACAGGTCTTTTCCACATATGAACCAACTGTTACCCTTCTACTTTAGAGCCACACACTGTATCAACAGCTATCTCTGCCCCCAAATCAGAAATGTGTATCCATTTTATTATTAAGTCAGTTTACCCCACACCAATATGAAAGTTCTTTCAAGTCAGGGACTGCATCTTTTTGAACTCTGTATCCTCTAGGCCAGAAAATGTTGAATGAATGTTGACATAGACTAATGTGGCTGGATATGGATGGCTCAATACAAATCTGCCATTATTAATTAGGTGAGGGGTACTCAATTCTTAACATATGTTCTTGGATGCAAGGCTGGTAAAGTCTCTATTTTTGAATACATAATTTTTACAATTAGTGATAAAGCCAATATAAAACTGGAATACACTGGGTCCAGGCCTTTCTTGCTACAGGGATGCTTGCTTGGTGGTCCAATTACAAAGGTGTGGACCTCAACACTGTAATTTTTACTCTACAAATCTAAACCAAAAGCATAGAGTCATGAGAGAAAAAATACACTTTAACCTAATTTGCAAGAAACAACTTCTACATTTTGAATCTAATGGCATAACCCTTTCTGGGGTTTTCATGTCATTGCAAAGTAGTATTTTAGATCCCTGAACTCAAACCCTAAGGGCAAGGACAATCACTCTCCAACCCAAATACAGATTCCTCTGGATTTTATGTGAGCTGGCCTAAACACAGACCCAACAAAATCACAAGATGAAAATCCCAAGCACGTTCCCCAAGGCCCTATAATTTGGCCTGAATATAAAGTAAATGCACAGTAGGATGGCTACAGAACAGGATAAAAAGTTAGTAACTGCCCAGGCTATGAGAACAGGACCAACCTTTCATGAACAACAAAAAATAACACACAGATACGACTATAGGGGATAGCCAAGGACCATGAAAACTTGAGTGTTAGGGAACACCACAGGTCCAAATGCTTCCTTGAGCAGACAAATACTGACTACAGGAGGAAAAATGATATGGATCTCTCCAGGTTAAAAATGGGTATTTCCATTAGGCCTGATGTTCCTAATAGCTAATATTAATGTGAGATATCAGTCCAGCCCAGGACTCAGAAAAAGTAGCTACACTGACCTTAGCATACTCTTGCTGGGCAAAACTCTTATTATATTCTGTGGAAAGGGAGATCCTGGAATGCTGGTTACTAAAGAAACATTATTACGAAGATGTTCTGAAAGGATTCAATACAGGAAAAACATACCGAGCACCTAAGACCTAGATGTTAAAAGTGCTTCGCCCATAGCTACTAACTCTTCTGAGAGGAGAAAACAACTTTCTGTTTGAGGATGCAATTCTCCAAGGGCCAGGACAGCTTCTCTGAAAAAACAAAAGATGGAGGCATAGGGTGACATCTGGTTTCCTTTCTGCTGAGGGCTGAAATCAATATTAGCCTCTGGCTCCCTATATTCCTATAGAAGCACCTGTGGACAGGCAGGGAGAGGGAGAAAACAAATGTTGTTTAGGTGGCACTCAGTACAAGACCTTGATTCAATAAACTGTGGACAGGAAAAGATGAATAAAGAGTAAGGTATTAAAAAGGTGATGAATAGATAATACTGGGGTTATTTTGTGAAAAGAAAATCAGATTTTGACGAATAACTTAAATATTACCTGTAACCCTGGTAACCATGTGTCCCAGGTTTCTCAGAATCGCTGTCAATACAAAATAATTGTTTTGTCCACATGCTAGAATTTGGTTTTACAAATATGGTCACTGTAGTTTACACGCCCGCTGCTCATAGGAGACACACACACACATCAGCTACATGGATAAGCTGTCCTTTTCTCCACCTGCAAATCAAGACCCAGATTACCTCCTCAGAGGCTCTGGCCTAACTTTTGCCCAATCCTTGTTTATATTAATTGATATCCTTGAATACTTGTATGACAGATCTATTTCCTGACAACCCTTTCTTTTAGATGCCCATAGATTAGTAGTAACAACTGTCAATTATCTAGCACTTGATCTAGGTCTTTAATTTCTTCAGAGAGCAAAAGAAAATGGAGGTATGGGTTATGAGTTCCTACCAAATCACATTACCATTTGGGAGGATTTAACTGGATAACTTAAACCAAAATCTTCTCTGTTCCAGTCTGTCACATCATTGCAGCAACAGCTGTCTTTTCAACGGGGCAGTATAATTGTTGACATAATTTATACAACCATACAGAATTCAATCAGCAGCTGAGCTGGGAAGCAATGTTAACAAATGCTATGAATGGGTATATGATTTGCATATTATTCAGCTCATCTGTGGACTAGAGCAATCTATTCATTTCCCTCATTACTCTGAATAATCTAGAAATGATCGACTGCTCCTGGTCAGCTCTATTTTAAAAATCAAAGCAAGAACAAAATAACCTCAATGGCTGGTGAACTCTAGAGTTAAGGCTATTTCAAGCATTTATTATCATTTCCTCAGCTTTGGGCTAGAACAAGGATGCTCAAAACCCTGCTATTTCCTTACTTTAGTCTTGATTCTCTAGACCCCATCACCCACAGGAAAGAAAAGTATATAGAAGTAGGGCATTTCACTGGAGACAAAGACAGGATATGATCAGAAAAATAAACTCTCAATCTAATGGCAAATCAGGAGGAAGCTAAAAGAGAAATATTTTGCTGAGTAGGGAGAGAAGGTTGTGTCAACATGCTAATGCCAGGGGCTATTACTCTCTGAGGTGAATAGTCTTCCATGGAAATGCATTTTTAAAAAGATACAGGTAAGAGTTTTAGGGTGGAAAAAGGAAGAACACTAATACTTTGGGGACTCTTGGCAAACCCAGGAGTCAACAAAGACAACATTTATGACTATAAATGCTATGAATATTTAAAATTGATAGTGTGGCCAATGACTCCCCTCCAAGAATTCCCCATTAAAATAATGGCATGGAGGGGAAACTTGGGTCCACTGAGAAGTGAAAGTCAGGTTTGAAGCCTCTTTGGTTAACAGGAATGCTTTGGGAGGCCACAGAGGTTGGCAGGGTTGGAGGGTGCCTAGCACCTTGGCACAAGCAAGCACCAGGCAGTCACTCACACCTACATAAATATATAGTCCAAAAGTGAGGGGTGGAAGTAAATAATACATATATATCATATGTGATAAAAAAGACAATTGTATCCTACCCCATCATCTTCATGTACTAACAGCTAAAAAACTCCACAGTTAATAATCTTGCCATTTTATGACAGACTACACCACCTTGCAGAAGCAGAAGCAGGTATTGCTAAGAAACAAAGCCACAAGTCCTGGGGCTAAAAAAGAGTGCCTTGACAAATCTAAATGTAAAATTTCAACTGCTCCAAAGGATGGAGCTATTCTGGGAGGCTGGGTAAGGGTGAACTACAGACAGTGGCCCAGAAGACCATACCAGGAACCCTGCATTCCTGGGTAGAGCTGAATGAGATTGGGAAAGCCCCAACAGGTAGGAAGTTGCGATTGGCTTTTTAAAAAGGTGGGCAACATCTTTTCCATCCCAACATCACAAACAAAGGCTAGCTAGTCATCAACATGTTTTAAGAACCAAAATGCATCATCATTGTAACAAAACCCCCCAATCCCCCAATCTAAAAAGTGACCAACCCTGAAAAGATCAAGACTCTAAGGTGATTACAAAGTTAAAACTCATCTTGAGGTCACAGGGGAGTAGAAGAGATGAGGGCAAAGGAAAAAATGTGGGAATTACACACAGTATGTAAATGCCTGGTCTTCACAGAGAGACACTGATCATGAATCAGACCATCAGTTATGTTACAAGAGAACCAATACCAACATTTCTCCTGTGGAGCACAGTGATAAGCACATTTTTTATGAATATGTTTAGGATAGAAGGGGCAGGTATAAGGGAGAGGAGGCAAGGAAGTAAATGTACTATGTACAAAGAGAAATGACAGAGACTAGCCCCTCTTTTAGCTCTTTGCTGTTTCTTTTTCTTTGTTTTCCGCATCCTCGGGATATGCATGCCACGTCAGTCTTTCTTCATAAAATGCTATCACAATCTGTGGACATTTTACATTAGCTTCTTTTGCAAGGACCAGGTCTGCTTCATCTGTGTCTTTCCTGGAGAGAAAGAATAGGAAGACTTAAAAGGAGACTTAAGTAAGAGGGAAAGTTTGTCCAAATACAGGTTTCTGTCGTTATTTGGACTAAGCTAACTTGATTTCCTCTTCATCCTGATTTCAAGTGAGAAGAATCCTACCAGTTATTTTCCTTTTTGAAAAAATTTTATTAAATTATTGGGGTTCAGTTCAATATTTTCAAGGAGAAATTTAAGTAAATGAATTAAATTATGGTAGTTTCCCCCCTCACTTGTAGTTTTGCTTTTAGCGGCTTGTTACCCAAAGCCAACTGTGGTCTACAAATAGTAAATGGAAAATCCCAGAAATAAACAATTCCTAAGTTTTAAATTGTATTCTGTTCTGAGGAGCATGATAAAAATTTCACACTGTCCTGCCTAGGATGTACATCATCCCTTTGTCCAATGTATCCATGCTATACATAAAGATATCATGAAAGAGAAGAGAGAGCTCACATAACTCTGATTAAAGTATACTGTTCTATTTTATCATTAGTTATTGTTGTTAATCTCTTACTTTGTGCCTAATTTACAAATTAAAATTTATCACAGGTATGTATGTATGTGTAAGAAAAAACATAATACATATAGAGTTCTATACTACCAGCAGTTTTCAGGCATCTACTGGGCGGGTGGGAGGTGGGGGTGATGGGATTGGAATATATCCACCACGGGTAAGGGGGGACAACTGTATCAATGAATGTCATTTAACTACTACATCAGACACAAACGGAAATCTTCACAGCTAGAACTTAGTTGGAAAACATAGCAGGCTTAATCAAAAGGCTGAAAATTAAATTATATAAACTCTGCTCCCATAATTTTTATTTGATGTATGAGCATATCAGTGAACACACAATAGAACCTACATTCGCCCCTATTGCTTATGCACAAATTGATCAATCCAATTTCTGGATAATCTAAGTAAGTGGAAGTGTCCCACTCTTCCTCACCTTGTGGCCTTTTAAAAATTCTTTATCTTTTTGGTCAGAAATGTGGATTGGAACAGTAAGAAAACAGAAACTTAAGTCAGCAACTATTTATAAAAAGGAGAGTATGTATAATATAGTATTAAAATGTAATGTGGGAATTAGCTGTGAATTTTAATTATCCGAGTTACAGAGGCTTTACTACAAAATATGACAAAAAAAATCTAGCAAGTTCCTTAACCAGGATTCGAAATCAAGAAAAAAATTAATCAGAATTCCACTGAAAAGGAGAATAATAATGGCCTCATAAGACCCCCCCCACAAGCCCTTGCACAACCACTCCCGTAAACATTAATTCCTGGGGATAACATCTAGGCCTCAGTTGTATTTCAGCTCCAAGCCCAGAAAAGTAGCAAAACCAGACAAGGGATGCCACGACTGACATCAGGACCAGCTGCAATGACCAATGAACCCTGCGCTGGTGCCAACCTATCAGTCAAGACCCTGGCCCTAAAAGGACATGCCTGGAAATCTGATAAATATTCTATTGAGATCCTCCCCTGGGGCTGCCCCTAAAATCCCCCTTAAAACCCTTTAGGATGGAGAACTCCTCCAGCTCTCCCTTGCACCTTTTCCCCCAAGTCCCCAAAGTGTGTTACCTTAACCTTTCTCTCTCCTAAGCTCAAGAGCACTTCTTTTGCCTCTATAACTCCTGAGCACATTTCTTCTACCTCTGTGTCTCCTGAGCACATTTCTTCTACCGGTAACTTCTACCTCTGTGACTTTCTAAATAAACTTTCTCTTATAGTTTGAAAAAAATATTCCACTGAGATGTGAGCAAAGACAACTACCTCCTTGTTTAGAGAACTGAGATGTTTAATTCATAGAGATAAGTATTATGGGTGAGAATAGAAAGGGGAAAACCCACAGTTTAGAGAAGATACTCAAATCTGGAAAGTAATGGAAAAAGCTAGTTAATCATAAGTAACTATCAATCATTAAGTAACACACATATAATCATGAAACTATAAATCATAAGTAACACACAACTGAGTGGGAAAAGCAGTCAATACAGCTCCTCATTTCTGCAAGTGTATAGTGATTCTTCAAAAATAGGCTTTTGGGTAATTTACCAGCAAAATTTTGATCAAATAAAATGTTAAACCTTTTGATTATACAACATTTAAGGTAATTAGCTTCCTTAGTGGCACCATAGCATGAACCCTCTATTTAGACACCAAACATAAATCATTAAGCTCAGAACACATGAATACCGGAGGCAGTGGGGGCCAGACCATAAATCACCCTGTCTTTTAGAAACCCAATTGAGGGGAAGTAACTATACTCTCCTCTAAGAGCCATTCCCTCTACCAGATGAAATAACTTGTGCTTTGGCCAGTATTATTCTTAATGCTTTTCGTTCAGATTATTTTTCTCTTTCAGACATTATTCAGTGGTCTTGGTCCTCAGTTGATGGCAAAAAACCCTAAGCAACTCCTATCCCATGGCCACATGCTCATGGTCTGACGGTAAATGATTCAGAACTGTGTAAAAAAGTGGTTAGGTCGTGTTTATATGTTTCCTACCTCAAATCTACCTTTTTCTGGTATTTGGACTAATATCATATAATTTGGCTTAATACCAAAGCTTGAGAGTGTCTTGAATTCATTCCACACCATAATTCCTATTTAATACCGACATCTGGTTTCAGTTAAAGATCCTTAACAATCAAAATTCTTGGTTAGGGAAGTCTTCCCTCACTATCTTTCATACAAACTCAAGTCACTGGCCAAAAAAACCCACAATTATAAACTAAAAACCGATCTCTCTCACCATTTCATTAGGAACATTAAATCACCACAGGAATCTGTTGCCCCAATGATCTTTTCTGGTTCCAGTCCTCTCTCAAAGCCCCGAGCAATATCATTGCTTTGCTACAAACAGAAGATGAAGAAATGTTAAAAACATCCCTCTCAGCTTGAAGCACAATCTAATTTAATATCACCTGATATCATTTTTTAAAAAGACTTTATTTATTTTTAGAGAGGAAAAAGGAGGGAAAGAAACATCAATCAGTTGCCACTTAGCACATGTCCCAATTGGGTAACAGGCCCACAACCTGGGCATGTGCCCTGACCGGGAATTGAACCAGTAATCTGCCACTTTGCAGGAGGATGCCCAACCAATTGACCTGCACTGGTCAGGGCTCACCTGACAACCATTTTTGCCACAATTCATAAAATTCTTAAAACTTAAAAATTACAATACTAGGTCACCCAGTGACAGTGATGCCAAAAAATATGTTTGTAAGAAGATGCAGTTATCTTTCCTTCAAGATTAAGAGTGGCTCCTAAAACTCTTCAATATCCATTAAAATATTCTGGAGTCATCATCTGGGAACTCCTCTAATCCAATCTCCTTAATGATATAAATTGATAAGCCTTAAATGGCTTCTGAAATGATAAACGAGTACATGAAACAAGTCCATGTTTACCCAAACTAAACCTTTTTCACATTATAAATTTCTCCACACTTCTCAATCTTTATTTTTTCAGACTTTTAGTTTACCTTAACACTGACTAATATTTTTAATACTTCTTTTCACATAGTCATCTATATATATATATATATATATATATATATATATGAAAGAACAGAGATAACAATGATTTAAGGAAGTACCATAAAAAAACACAAATTTCTTTCAGAGTTCACATACTGCAATTACCCATGCATTTGGAGATGAGACCCTGGTCTGTGTCTATCTGCTCCAGAAGTGGATGAGTCATTGGCATTTGAGAACAGAATTGGTCGGTGATTTAAATCAAACAAACTGATTATTCTCTAGGGAAGTATTCAAATTTGGTCAGAATCCAATCATGTAGTCTAGGTAAGGAGTACAGGGTCTGACTCAAGTGTGATGGCACTGGTGAGAACAAAATGGCAAAATGTTACACAAAGCAGGTAATTTTAAAGACTTCGCTTATTTATTTTTAGACTGAAGGAAAGGGAAGGAGAAAGAGAGGGAGAGAAACATCTTAATCAATTGCCTCTCACATACCCTCCCAGGGACCTGGTCAGCAACCCAGTAATGTGCCCTGACTGGGAAACAAACTGGTGACCTTTTGGTTTGCAGGCCAGCACTCAAATCCACTGAGCCACAACAGCCAAGGCAAAGAAAGGTAATTTTTTTAACTGATATATTATATTTTTTAAAAGATTTCATTTATTTTTAGAGAAAGGAAGGGAGAGAGGGAAAGAAACATCAACATACGGTTGCCTCTTGCACACCGTACACAGGGGACCTGGCCAGCAACCCAGGCATGTGCCCTAGACTGGGAATCGAACCAGCGACCCTTTGATTCATAGGCTGGCACTCAATCCACTGAGCCACACCAGCCATGGAAAAGCATGTAATTTTATTTTATTTTTTTTTAAACTTCTTTTTTTTTTAAAGATTTTATTTATTTTTATTTTTAGGGCGGGAGGGAGAGAGAGAGAGAGAGAGAGAGAGGGAGAGAAACATCAATGTACGGTTGCTGGGGGTCATGGCCTGCAACCCAGGAATGTACCCTGGCTGGGCATCGAACCTGGGACACTTTGGTTCCCAGCCTGTGCTCAATCCACTGAGCTACGCCAGCCAGGGCTTAGAAAAGCATGTAATTTTAAAAACCTTATTATGGAAGATAAAGACTGTGCAAATGAACTAATATCTGATGTTTTATTTTCATAATAAAATCTCTGATCTGACTTTCACCTTGCTTTCTTCTGAGAAAAATATTCGGGGTCCAGGTGGTCCCCAAAGATACCAGAACCCACACTGGGAAGGAAATTTCATGCATGGACCAGGAGAGATACTGACTCAAAAACACAGCGTCTTTTGGGGGCCCTTAAGCAGAGGAGGTTCCCAGATGTGCACACAGCTGCTCACAGCTGGAATGCTGGCACATGAACTGAGCTGTAAATCATAGCTGGCAGCTGAAAACAGGTTTGCCACATAGGGAGGGAAGGGAAGAAAAATGTTCAAGTTGCTGAAAAGGAGATGAGGTGAGGAAAATGCTAAAATCATCACACAAGCAGTAATCTTAAATCAGGCATAATGCCGACTAACAAGTTTCTTCTTTGGTGGTCTTAAAAAAAATGCAACCTCCTCCTGTATCTTTAAAACATACAATCACCTATCTTCCTAGCTGCCTACCTGACAGCCACCAGCATTGTTAAGAATGCTGTCAGAGGCCCCAGACGAACATTACAATGTAAGGGACATGTGGGGGCTGTTTTTCAAGGTCAGCAGCATAGAACCTGGCCTAGGAACAAAACTCTCTGCATTGGCCAGTGGCTCTAAGCCAGACTGCTCCTTTTTAATAGGAAAAAACCTTAGGTTGAGGAAGGACACACTATGTCATAAATGGCTAGTTAGAAATCTCACAATGTTATTTTTTGGTCTCTTTACTTAGCTGGAAAGGTAATCAAATGGAAAAAGCCAGACTCCAAAGGACTAATAAAAAAATAAATAAATTGTACACCTGAAACATACATAATGCTATTAACCAATGTTACCCCAATAACTTTAAAAAAGAAAAAAAACAAACAACCTTAGCTCCTTCAAGAAGGGAAGGCATTCTCAAATTCTTTATCAGTAGTTTATCATAATGATACACACACTCACCAAAATAAGGCAGTTTTAAAAATGAGGTTAAAAATAAAATTAGCCCTGGCTGATATGGCTCAGTGGATTGAGCGCCGGCCTGAGAACCAAAGGGTCGCCAGTTTGATTCCCAGTCAGGGCACATGCCTGGGTTGCAGGCTAGGTCCCTGGTAGGGGGCACTCGAGAGGCAACCACACACTGATGTCTCTCCCCCCTCTCTTTCTCCCTCCCTGCCCCTCTGTCTAAAATTCAAAAAATAATTTTTTAATTAAAAAAATAAAATTAAAGTGTTGCAGGTTCGATTCCCAGTCAGGGCACATGCCTGGGTTGCAGGCCACGGTCCCCAGCAACCGCACATTGATATTTCTCTCTTTCTCTCTCTCCCTTCCCTCTCTAAAAATAAATAAAATCTTTAAAAATAAAATAAAAAAATAATAAAAATAAAATAAAATAAAATAAGGAAACAAGGAGACAGACACAAACCCAGAGTCCTTTTTCACTTGCAGTCTACAATCTTTCACTCTTATAGCAATACTTTGGGAAAACTGGTCTTCCATTTTCTCTCCTATGGAGACCAGGAATCATTTATGTATGTCCTTATAAAATACTGATGCATAGGTCCAACCCACAGAAATTTGAATATAACTGGTCTGGTCTCGAGCGCTAAAGGTTTTTTAAACTGCCTCCCATCCCACCCCTGTGGTTCTAATGTGCAGCCAAAGCTGAGAACTAATGTCTAGAAAGATGGGTATCCAAGCAGAATGAAAATAGGAATGCTTATGACAGTTATGCTAGAAGATTCAGATGCAGAATTATGTTTTTATTTTATTAAACTTTAAGGGTACAATACATCCTTCACCACAAAAGGCTTTACAACCTTGAAATAAAGGAAAGGAGTGGAAGCTGGAAGGGGGCATATGTATATATGTACACAGATGGAAAAGATAATAGATGAAAAGAGAGGCAATAATGCCCTGGTCAAGTAGCTCAGTTATATAGAGTACCATTCTGACATGCCAAGGATCGAGGGTTCAATCCCCAGTCAGGGCACATACAAGAATCAACCAATGAACGTATAAATAAGTGGACCTCAAATCAATATTCCCTGTCTCCGTCAAATCATTAAATAGCCCCGACTGGTGTGGTTCAGTGGGTTGGGCATTGTCCTGTAAACCTAAAGTTCAATTCAATTCTTGGTCAGGGCACATGCCTGGGTTTTGGGCCAGATCCCCAGTAGGGGGTGTGTGAGAGGCAACCACACGTTGATGTTTCTTTCCCTCTCTCCCTACCTTAACCTCTCTCTGAAACTATATATGTAAAATCTTTTAAAAAATAAATTAAAAAATAAAATCAGTAAAACAAATTTTTTAAAAAGAAATAAGTGCTTATGTTGGTTACTTGAGACCTAAAGATCAGAAGGACTAAAGCAACTGAATCAAACCAAAATTTCAGACTTTCCAAATTGATCAGTAAGATTTAAAAAGATGAAAATTAATTTCCTATGTAAAGTACATTTAAAAAAGATCAAAAGAGAATATACATGTTCACTGAACTGTGTACTTTAAAATGGTTAATTATATGTTATGTGAATTTCATCTCAATAAAAAAAGAACATAAAGGATTGAAAATAAGGGCTGTGCTCACTTCAGCAGCACATATACTAAAACTGGATGACAAATTCATTGCTTCATGTTAAAAAAAAAAGAAAAAGGAAAAAGAAAATAAGTGCTATCTTTGGAACAAGAAGAAAAAAGAAGTGGTAAATATTTTAAGCCCTTTTGTATTCTTGAAAAATTCACCAAAGACCCTTCTTCTCTAAGATAGCTTAGCCTTCTACTTTGGAGAAGACAGAGAATGGCTGAATGTTTTACAGGAATTTAATTTTGGTACCTTATTACAACTCAGTTTATATGCATTACATTTCTCATTCAGCCAGGAGGGGGCGCTGTAGTTAATTAACATACCGTACCTCCCTGGAAGTTCTTTTGTTCAATAATTTTACCTTGTGGGCCATCCTTAGAACAGAAATAAACAAAATCAGGCATTTTGGGGAGAGACGTGGGAGTTGTGGTGGCAAAAGAATAGTATGTGGAAAAAAGGGGAGAACTTACCTCTCTCTTTTTTTTAGATTTGATATCATCAGCACTGTTCGAGAAACTGGATTTCCTCTTGTTACTTTCTGATTTTTCCCTGGGTTTATTATTTTCACCCTCCTTCATCTTCTTATACTTTTTCATAAACTCAGAAATTAGCTCAGGGCAATCCAAATTTTTCTCAGGTTCCCAAGTATTGTGCTCCCTGGGCAAGAACAGAGAAAAAAGGAAAACAATAAGGTGGGGGAAAACCCAATGCCTTAGTTTAAAGAGAACAAGTAGGCAAAATTAGGAAAGAAACCCTACACTTAAGGAGATAAAAAATCTGATCCTAGGAATTTATCCCCAAAACTTTTTAAATATATCTGTAAAAAATTAGCATTTTAATAGCCAAAAGACAAAAAATTAAATATCCATGAACTGATGACTAGATAAACAAAATGTGGTATATCCTTACAATGAACTATACTATTCAGCAACAAAAAACCCCATAATACTAATTAATACATGCTACAACATGGAAAAACCTCAAAAACATTATTTATTCAAAACAAAAGAAACCAGATGCAAAAGACTATGTATTGTCTGATTCCATTTACATGAAATGTCTAGGCAAGACAACTTTAGAAACAGATCAATGGCTCCCTGATAAGGGGGCTGGGTGTTGAGATTAACCTCATATGGGCTCATGGAAATTTGGGAGGGTTATGGAAATGTTCGTGTGGAAATGGTTGCACAACTCTATAAATTTACTTAAAAGGGAAAAAACAAAACAAAACAAAACAAAAACAAAACACAAGAAGCCCTGGCCGAGCAGCTCAGTTGGCTGGAGCATCATCCCTTGCAACAAATGATCATGGGTTCGAGCCCCAATCAGGTTCATGGGGGAAGAAACCAATCAATGTTTCTCTCTCTCAAATCAATAAACATATCCTCAGACAAGGATAAAAAAAATCATTGAATTTTACACGTTCAATGAATATTTATGGATTGTAAACGATTCCTCAATAAAACTGTTAAGACCTCAAATATGAATTCTTCTTCAAAAAATGGCAAAATAATGTAATTTCATACATATAATTATCTGTGCAAATCATGAGAAGACACTAATAAATCATACAGCCCTTCCCCCCATTAAATGTTACTTATATTTTGAAGAAATACCAACAAATTTTTGGAAGATTAGAAATAGTTCTTTAGAAAAAAAGCAGTAAAGGCTTAAATCATTAGAATATAGACAAACCATACAGAGAAGACTCAGAAGTAGGAAATGTAGTACATTAACTCAATGGTCTGGATTCAAGCCTACCATCACTAGGTAGTCAAAAACACATTGTTATATTAATAAATAAAAAATAACCCCCACACTAAACCGTTGGGTCTAATTAAACTTAGAGCAAAGGAGTCCTATTATGAGGTTAACAAATAGTTGGTATTCACAGTTGTTCTCCTGTATTCCTGGCATGGATTTTAGAAAAACCAAACCCCCAACTCCATCATAAGCTTAAGAAATCAAATAAGAAATGTACCTATATAAGAAAAACTAAACCAGACATCTTCTTTATTCCTAGCCAGTAACAAATGTCCTTTTGGTTCTATATAAGGACTAACTTATATTAAAGTATACCTATAGCCCTAGCTGGAGTGACTCAGTAGATTGAGCACTGGCCTGTGAACCAAAGGGTTGCTGGCTCAATTCCCAGTCAGGGCACATGCCTGGGTTGGGGGCCAGGTCCCCAGTAGGGGGAACATGAGAGGCAACCACACATTGATGTTTCTCTCCCTCTCTTTCTCCCTACCTTCCCCTCTGTCTAAAAATAAATCAATTAGCCCTGGCAGGTGTGGCTCAGTGGACTGAGCCCTGGACTGCAATGCAAAGGGTCGCCGGTTTGATTCCCAGTCAAGGCACATGCCTGGGTTGTGGGCCAGGTCCCTGGTAAAGGGTGTGCGAGAGTCAACCGACTGATGTATCTTAATGTATCTCTCATACATCAATGTTTGTCTCCCTTTCTCCCTCCCTTTCCCTCTCTCTAAAAAACAAAATCTTTAAAACAATATTTAAATAAATTAGTAAAATAAAAAAATTAACCAGCAATTGAGGCAAAATACCAAACGATCACACAGCTTCACATATTTTACCTTTCAAGTTATGTCTTCTATGCTTCAATGTGTCTAGTTCTATTTATTCCAAAGAAAAGAATAATCTACTTTAGCACTTCAGCACGAAGCCAGTTACTAACAGACATTCTAGTCATCACTTCAGTATCATTCTTACAGCTCATTGACTTAAAAAGAGGGTTTTTCAAGGGTTGTTTTTTTTTTAATAGATTGATGAATAAAGGAGTAAGGTGGATAGGTTATAGTAAAATGTTAATTGTAGAAACTAGGTGGTATGTTTGAGTGTTCACTCAACTTCTTTTGCCTCAGCTGTATATTTAAAGTTTTTCAAAAATAAACATGGCCCTAGCCCAGTGGTTTAGTAGGTGCAGTGTCATCCAAAAAGGTTGCAGTTTGATTCCGGCCAGGGTAGGTACCAGAGGCAACTGAGAGATATTTCTCTCTCACATCAATGTTTCTCTCTCTCTCCCCCCGTTCCTCTCTCTAAAATCAATAAACATAATCTTGGGTGAGGATTTTAAAAAATACACACACACAGGTGGGGAGTATAATGGGACGCGACCGTGGCCTCAGATTTAAGCCTCATTAAGCACTTTAGCCTAGGTCCTGGCTGGTGTGGCTCGGTGGACTGAGTGCCAGCCTGAGAACCACAGGGTCGCCAGATTGATTCCCAGTCAAGGCACATGCCTGGGATGCAGGCCAGGTCCCCAGTAGGGGCCGCACAAGAGGCAACCCACACACTGATGTTTCTCTCCCTCTCTTTCTCCCTTCCCTTCCCCTTGCTCTAAATATAAACAAATAAAACACTTTTTTTTAAAAAAGTCCTTCATCCTAGGGCAATTCTAAGATCTAGGGCTTTGAATAGCTATGGGCTTTGGAGTCCATGGTGATGATGACATCATCATCATCTTCATCTTATTCAATGCATGTATAAAGAGTAGTTAACAGTAAATTTCTACTTACACTGAGCTTATGTGTCAGGCTCTGTGTCTACACAACATCTGTAAGACAAGTATCATGTCTTATCCCTATTATATCAAGAAGAAAGAAAAAAAAGATTAAGGAACTTAACCAAGGTCCCAGCTTGTATCAAAGTGGTGGTGGCGGCAAGAAGCTGGACCCAGGCAATCTGGGTCCAAAGTCTATGTTCCTAGCCAATTCAAAATACTGCTCTCGAAAGCATTATCATTAGAATACTTGCTCCAAAAAGGAGGAAGACTTTGTTCAGTTTATTGCTGTGTCTTCTGACTCTTAGGAAAGGAGTGCAAGTGGAAGAAGAAAGACAAAATGGCGGTGGTTCGTAGGGAAATAAACCACAGGTGTCCACTTCTGTAGAGTCCTAAGGCCTAAGAGAAGGCACTTACTCAGAAAAGCCTTTCCACTTCAGTAGATATTCCACTTGCCCCTTAACCACACGCCTATCTAGCACCTTCTCCACGACGTACTCCTCCTCATCCTCTGAAGAAGAACTGTCAGCTGTTCGCTTGGTTTTCTTTCCCATGTCGCACGCTGTTCCACCTGAAGGACTAAGGCCACTGGGTTCCTGCAAATGGGAAAGACAAAATGGTCAGGACATATGTGAGGAGGTAACTTTCTGTCCTCTTCTTTTTTTAAATTGTCCTCTCGTGCCTTTAAGAGGCAGCCCTATACTCAGACGGCCCTCCTAAACCGAGAGGGAGACTGCTGTGTATCCTGCAGACTTCCCTGTTACAACAGAGTACAGGAGGAGCAGAGAAAGCCTAGGCCAGCACAAGTTTTTCTTTTTGATGAGATGCAAAGGGTATAATACAACTGCCATATACCATTCTCTTGGGTCTTAAAGTACTCTACATACAATTCCTAAATTCCTAACAACTTAACCAAAAAATGGGTTTATCCCAACTTCCCCAAGCACAACTTTCTCTTCAACTAACAGGACCAAAATTAGATAGCAATAATTGTCTAACTCCTCTAACTTCAGATTCCAAAAGACAAGTAGTGTGACATGTTGCTTCTGGCAACTTCTGTAACTGTTTACAAGCCAGGGACTCAGAAATGTGGAAAACGTGCAGTTAAAAGAACCGTAATAGAAGTAAAACCTTTCCCTCCAAATTAAAGAGGGTTCTTTATAAAAATGAAAAAAGAAAAGCCACCAAAATGTAACTTTCTGCTCCTCTGAGCATCTTGACTGGTTGGTCTCTTAGCAGCACAAAAAAAGGCCTGCTCAGGCATCTTTCACATTTTCAGTGACTCGGTACATTTCCCTTAAACAAATTGAGCTTGTCTCTTCAGAGCATCCATCAGTTCACAAAAACAAGACTGACATCTCAAACACACTAAGCCTCCTTTCTCATTTGGGAATGGGAGGGAGGCAGAGAGGAGAAAAAAATGTTTCGTCCTAAAAATCAAAATTAGTCATTGGATTGTTCAGTAATTCCCAAGGCTCAACTAATAGTTAAGAAGGTACCTCTCCTCTTAACTGGAGTTGACTTCAGGCCAAAGAATGAGGAGGAGGAAAAAGAAGTCTGGCCCCAGACTCACATCAACATGAAGCCTCAAAACACAGAGGAGCCATTCATTGGCCCAAGGAAAGCTGAATGCAACACAAATGGAAATTGAGTTAAGCGCAGAAATATGCACAACCAGGGGGTACTCAACAGAGAATCTAGGTTTTTTTAAATTCCCACGTTGTTACCATAATCACTTTTAAGAATTCTTCTTTAACCATGTTAAATGGTGCCTACAGTCTGGATTACAGAGTAGCAGGAATTGTTTTCTTAGCTGAACTACATATTTATTTTGCTGTAATCTTTAGATTCTTTTAGGCACTTTCTAAAAATATTTCCATCTCCAACAGAAGACCATTCCCAGGATTAGGGGAGGTCATTACTAATCTCAAGATTTTGTTCAGGTCAAGTAGCATAAAAAGTTGCATTTACTAATTTACTTCAAATTGCAAATTTTAAGGAATTATTCCAAGAATATATAGTTGAAAACTGTATCTGTAGACCTTGCTAGCAATAGCTCTGCCCACCCAAAATACGGCCTGTACCCATTACTGCCCTGTAATAAAACTAAGTTTTCGTTAAAAAATTCTTTATTCGGAGGAGTGGGGTGGGCTGGAGGATGTAAGGGGTTTCAAAATAATTTTGCCATGAATGTAGAACAGAGTCCAAAGCTTCAAGAAAAAAAAATCTCTGATTTGATTTATTAAAAAAAAAAAAAAATCACAGCCTGCGACCTTACCAGAGACAGGAAATGTCCTATTCCAGTGAGAGTACCCCACCCCACCCCACTCACCTTGGAATTTCCGGGAGCTGAGCAGTTTAGGTCAGAGCGCTGGGGTTAAAACCAGCCCTGGGTTAGATGCATGCAGTTAAGCATTGTGGCCATGGCCTCCCCTGCCTCACGAGGAAAAACAAGGATTTACATATGTGTTCTTCAGTTTGAGGGAGAAAAGAGGAAAATCTCCCTTTATACCTTCATGCAGAAGAGGCACCCCAAAGGAAGAAGATGAATGGGGGTTCCCTTATTTACCTACCGGATCGCCCCGATTCTTTCTTTCCCTCTGGGCTAACAGGAGGGGCCTCCCCTCCCAGGTCTGGGACTTGGCGGGCTGGCAGCTCCCCCGCCCCCACCCAGCTGCCTGGGCGCCACTGCGCAGCTGTCCCAGTCCGTTACCATGGCAACTGGCAGCAGTACTAGACGAAGAGGGGGAGAGGCAAACTGAAAAGTTAAAAGCCTTAACTTTCCTTCTCAGTGAAGACCGAGTGAGGAAGTTGGAAGGTACCTACTTTGGCCTCAAGGCTAAGACATTCAGAGCTCAAGGGAATTGGTTCTTGGGTTTTAAATCCAAAATCTGTGCTTATTCCTCTAAGGGCACTGGGAATTAATCAATAGCAGTTTACAATCATCTAACAGGATTACAGCTCGACTGGACGGGGGAGGGGAAAGGGAAAGGCTAGGTCCTTCTACAACAGTATCGAATCAAACCACCCACCCCCTAATCCAGCCCACCAGAAGCACTTTACACAAGGCCTCTTCTACCATCTGTCACGGAACAGTTAATTAAAATTGCTTGGGGGCGGGGAGAGATAACAAAAAGTGGAAAGAGACTATTTGGGATACTACATAACTGTCTTTTGGGAGATTACTAGATACAGAAACAGAACCCAGAGCCTTGAAACACTACCAAAGAACCTTTCAACTAAAATTATAGACAGAAAAAAATTTAATCCTTAAGTAGTTTTAAAAGGGGGAAGGGAGAGCAGTTCAGCCACAACCATCACAGTTAAAACCACTTCTCATTAGTTGTTCTTGTAATATTATACAACAAATTTTAAAATAATTACTCATCCAAAATATGTATCATTCAAAATTACTTATATCAATAATCCCTAATACTTGAGAAAAAGAGAACTGAGATGAAAAAAAAAAAAGATACTTAGAGCTTGCAGTCCCATAAATTTGTGTTTTTCCTGATCCTAAAGAACATGTTAGCTCCAAACCCCTGCTCTGCTTTATGGATACTCGTCCTTAGAGCCAGAGGTGGCTGCCATAAGACAAATAAAAAGAGACATCAAAAACAACCTGATTGAGGAAAAAGTGCAGAATGATGACTATTTGGTTATCAAACAGAAGCAATTATAGGGTAAGAGAGCAACATAGACAGTTTTCAACTACGAAAGATTTCCTCAACTTTGAATGGACCCATCACGAAATCTCCAAGTTTCCTTTTTCGACTTCTCCTAACTTAAATTTTTTTTATTTGAGAGAGAGACATCTCTTTGCTGTTATTTATACATTCATTGATTGTTTCTTATTTGTGCACTGACCTGGGATCAAACTCACAGCCTTGGAGTATCAGGACGGTGCTCTAACCAACTGAGCTAGCCTGCCAGGGCTTCCTCACTCTTTTTTTTTTTTTTTAAATCCTCACCCAGGACATGCTCATTGATTTTAGAGAGAGAGGGAAAGAAATGTCCAAGTGAAGAAAGAGAAACATCAATAGGTGGCCTTTTATTGGTGCCCAGACCTGAGACCAAACCCCTAACCCAGACTGCCCTGACCAGAATCAAACCTCTGACCTTTTGGTTTACAGGACAATGCTCCAACCAACTGAGCCTCACCAGCCAGGGCTTCCTAAGGTTTTTTTGTTGTTGTTGTTGTTTGTTTGTTTTTTGGTTTTTTGGTTTTTTACTTCCTATAGTTAAAGGATGACAAGAAAAATATTCTGAAGTGTTCTAAATTAAAATTACAGCAGCCAGAAAGCAAAAGAAAGAACATTAGTCTGTTAATAGCTGTGGATCAGCTCTGACAAAAGACTGCTCAAATTTCCTGTGTATCTGTTGGAATTTAGGATTAATTCCCAGGTGGTTATTTCTGGGATTATCCAAGAGAGAACAGCCAGATGCCACAGAATCCCAGAAGTCTACGCATCGTATTTACACATCAATTTTCCAATCTGCTGCCCACAGCTAACCCACAGGAGCAGGCACTTCAAGGACCCTACTACATCCATCCCAGAACTAGCCCTGTTTCACCTACTCCCACCCTCTTTGTCTGTAGCTAATGTAAATACTTTCAGAATAGTCACATCTTTTTCTTCCTTACCTGATGTATAAAAACTAGGCAATAGACATGCTGTCTACCCTACCTAGCCATGCTGCTGGCGGTTTAGACAGACTCCTTGCCCTAAGGCCTGATAAACCCTTTCTTTTAAAAAGATTTTCAGCCCTGGCTGAGTAGCTCAGCTGGTTAGAGGTTCATCCCAATACACCAAGGTTTTGGGTTTGATCACTGATCAAGGCACATATAAGGATCAACCAATGAATACGTAAGTAAGTGGAACAACAAATCATGCTTCTCTCTCTCTCTCAAATCATAAATTTAAAAAAAAATTGAAGACTTTCAGCCATGGAAGTTAAAATTTTTTAGTTTAACTGTTATGTGAAAACAATGCCAAAGAAATTAGATCAAGGTTCTGATTCTGTGATGAACTTACCATATGTGATCTCAGTAAATAAATTTTTATCTCACTCTAGAATCACTAAACTGGGCCAAATAAATCCCCACTGCCTACCTCCTAAGGAAAGGGTGTGTTTATGTTGAAACCAAAGACCTGTTCAGTCCCTTAAAGAGAAGCTTTTGTAAAAATATTATAGGGCAGAATACAACAGCAGCAGGAAATATGACCTTTCAAATTCCTAAACCATTAAACCATATCACATGCAGTAACTCCTGCTGCTCAACATGTTAGGTAGACAGCAAGAAAGGAGGAACAGTGTCTTTGTTAATTAGACAACAGCAAACTAATAAACCTTGAGAGAACAGGCAGATGCATTCTCTCTCAAGGGTAAAATACTTACTCTTATGCCCTAAAACTCAGAAAAGCATAGGAGATGGCAGAATGAAAACAATGACTAATAATAAATCCTGTGAAGGAATAAAGGACAGGAAAGGATGAGAGAAACACTAACCTTCAGGGAAAAAGAGTTCAAGGAGGAAAGGGACAAAAATATTCTGGAGTCCACTCTTCTCCCTAAACCACCAGGGAATAGTCAG